GCGTTTTGCAATGTTGGCCGGGCTTGTCTCGAACTCCTGACCTCAGGTGATCCACCTGCCTTAGCCTCCCAGAGTGCAGAGCCTCCCAGGGATTGTAGGCATGAGCTACCATGCCTGGCCTTTTGCATTGTTTTAAAACGCAACTCTCGTCTTCCAACTCCCAAAAATATGTTTTCATTTACCCTTCAAAGTTAACTTTAGAATGCTACCACAGCTTTATAACTAAGGAATGTTTATTCACAATTAACAAGGGATGTTTTATTCAAATGCAAATATGTTGACTCAAATATTTGGAAATTTATGGAATTATCAAAAAGCAGGCAAAAATGAAACAAAATTTGAGGCATGTAATTCATACCTAATAAGTTAATAATAGATCTGAGATGGGACCATACACATACAGATCTTTTTATTGCAGTTTGAAAAAAAATACACAGGAAAAACTGAGTCATGAATGAATTCTTATTATGCTCTGTACTTATTTAACCTAATTTATATAAATTGAACCACATGTTTAATTTTAAAAGGACTTTGCATGTTGATTAATGAATTAGACACACTGGGTTTATTGCAGGGGTTTTTTTTGGTCATCTCTTTAAACTCTTGTTTTCTTTTCAGGTTAAAAGAATGGCAAATTCATATCTTTATGTTTTTGATAACTTTATATCTCTTTTTAGATTTGTATTGAACGATGTCTTGAGAGGGGAAAGAGTAGTGGTAGGAGTGATGACAACAGAGAGAGCTTGGAAAAGAGGTACTTTGCAGTTTTTACATACAACCACTTCAATCCCAGACCTGCCCTATTTGGTATAGGAAAAAAAAGAGTCACATTTAAACATGTAAAATGGCTTGTTTAAGATGTTAAGTCAATCGGTCGGGGCAGATCCAGTGTTCTGTGAGCTCTTCTATAACATATAGAAGAAAGGATAGATACCTAGAACCTTGCAATATTTACTTTTGCAGAATTCAGACATACCTTCAGTCAACAAAGCCAATTATTGACTTATATGAAGAAATGGGAAAAGTCAAGAAAATAGATGCTTCTAAATCTGTTGATGAAGTAAGTGTTCCTAGCCTGTCTTTAAAAAAATATGTCAAATAAAAACGTGATTATTTGTTTTGGGGTAGGCAGGAGAAAAAGAAATACTATCACAGATTAGTTAGTTTTTCAAGACACTGGAAGCCGGGCATGGTGGCTCATGCCTGTAATCCCAGCACAGGAGTTCGAGACCAGCCTGGGCAACATACTGGG